TTTCTGGAAATATGCCGCTTGATATTGAAGTGTTAATGATATGAAGGAGCAGCGGACCGATCACAGCAAAACAACGACGAATGGCCAGGATGGGGACTCCATCCAGTTCGACAGCTTTCGAATTGCTCATCAGACGCACCGCTGTTGACAGCTCAGGTAGAGTAGCGGGCTGAAGCTCAAAGCTTGTGGCACACACCACAGGGGGACGTATCTGGGGATCGACATACGTGTCATCCTGTCTGCGAGGTAAGAGTTCTGCTGCAATGTTAGAGCCTACATTCGCAAAATACGCATTAAACATGTCGGCCTGTTTTGAATCAAGGTTGTTATCTAGACAGTTGCCGCTCGTGTTTTTTACATACTGATTAAACTTCTTCCAAAAGCCACTGAAGTTCTTGCGCATTAATTCGTTACATAGAAAGTCTTTCCGTGCACGTGCTAATTTGCTTTTAACACTGTTGTGAAGTCTTCTGAAGGTCACGTGTCGATCTGCGGTGCGGAGGTTCAGCCAGTCCTTTTTAGCTTGGTCTCGCTTCGTCATCAGGTCACGCAGTTCACTGGAGAGCCATGGACAGCCACGTTTTCTATTTGTGCGTACATTTTCCATGGGACAGTGCCGGTCTATGACCTCGTTCCAGACGCGCATGAATTTTTCAAGCTTGCTATTGACATCAGCGGTCTCTAACATCTCACTCCAGTCCGCTAGCAAAAGATCCAGACAAACTGCGTTCCAGTCCGTTTTGTGCCAACGCCTGGTATGAAGAGTCCTTGATTTTTTCCGCGGTTTGGGTATTTTCACGACACACGTCACCGGCTGATGATCACTGAGTGAGTCGTCTAATACGCTGACAGCTGCATGGAGATCTGGCAGACTGGTTATAATGTGGTCGAGAATTGACGGACGTGGAAACAGATGTGTTGGCTCTTTAACCAGTTGATTGAGGTTGAGCTCAGCCAGAAGCTGCTCATATCTTATTACCCCAGCGCCATCTCTGGTGGATAGATCGATGTTCATGTCCCCGAGCAGGACCACTGGCTGTCCTTTCGATAGTGCTTCTTGTAGTTGAGTTCTGAGGGAGTCCAGGAAGTCTGTAACGGAGCTGTCTGGAGGCCGGTAAATGACGCCAAGAACAAGAGACCGACCGTGACTGGTGGCAGACAGCCAGAGTGCGTCGGTTACCGGATCGGTATTATGAATTTTCAAAAGCGAAATTTTTATTGAGTCACGGTAGATGATAGCAACTCCACCTCCTCGTATCACTGAGCTACCACGCCTTGGCTTGCTTCGGTCAGCCCGGAGGACGGCATAGCCGGGAAAGACTAGAAAGTCCGTTCTTATACTTTCCGTTAAAAATGTTTCTGACAGACATAAAATATCAATCTGTTTTGATTCCAGGAAAGCGTTGATTTGTTCCAATTTCGCAGTCATCGACCGTATGTTCAGATGAGTGATGATCATTTGAGGGCGGGCCGGGACCCCAGCCGTCCGCGTCTGCTCCGTTGACAGCCGTGTTGGACGGCGCAGAGTCCTGTTGTCAGCGGACGGCCGGAGTGGACGCTCTACACGGCGGGGTAGCTCCCCAGCGTCCGGAGCGGTCAGCTGGTCACCGCTCGCTCTCCCCTTGGCGCGGCGGACTCGCCACCCGCCACGGCATCCGCGGTGGGCGGGCCGGCGGGAGCGCGTCCCCGTCGCCTCGGGAGCGCCCGGCATGTTGACTTTAGCCGGGCGACGTCCCCTGACCGTTGGGCCTCCCTCCGGCGGCTCCGGTTGTCATGGTTACCGGTAGGGGAGACGGATTTGAGCTGCTACTCCGCGCGGAAGTATGCGTCGGAAAGAAAGTAGTTCCCAAAAAATTGTGCAGAACTTCCCGTAGAAATGTAGAAAAGCAGTCCTGTTTCACATTCAAGGTTCGACAGTGATTTGCGGCACAGGAAGACACTTGGATTTAGTCTATTTCTTCAAGTTGGTTAACCGTTCTGTCAGGGTCTAGCTTGAAACGTCGCAATTCGATGATGCGTATTATTCCTGGAAACTTGCTTATTTCCGGTGCCAGGTAGAACTTACGGCTCTTCTGTTGGTGTCCGGCGATGCGTCTGATGATAACGAGCACGCACACACTGATTTCACGAGGTGTAATGCCATTTTCCGTTAAGAGAGAAGAAAAACAAGGGAGCGGCCGGGGGTCGCCTGTCTAGCGCGCGCGCCCGGCACGAAGGCCTCCACTCCCCAGGAGGCTTCGTCATCCACTCGTGGTCGACTCCCATCAGGTCAAACATCAGCCACGACGACGTGGTCACCAATTCTGACAGGCTGGTGGACTCATCCAGTGCGACCGATGGTGTCTGATCAGGCGCCGCGGAGCACGAGTTTGCGAGCAGGTTGACACATATGGCCTCCTTCTCCTCTTCTGTGACACGGCTGCTAAAGAGGCTGAATACTACAACTGATGGCTGCAGATACCACAAATGGCGCCGCATCACAGCGAGAGCAGCGTTCGCCACTGGTTGGTCCAACTGCCTATACCGCACCAGGCTACGGTACAGGTTGAGGTCGTTAGCGGGGGCGTCCTCTGCAACAGGGGCCCGCAGCCACGCGACGACATAGAAGAGGAGCAGGAACTGAGCCATCCGCTGCACCTTCTCCTGCATTGGCTCATCGTACTCCAGCTGGTCCGCGAACAAGAACATCTTGATGCTGTACAGTGTACAGCATCAAGTGATACAGCATCAAGTGTATCATTTGTGGTATCTGCAGCCATCAGTTGTAGTATTCAGCCTCTTTAGCAGCCGTGTCACAGAAGAGGAGAAGGAGGCCATATGTGTCAACCTGCTCGCAAACTCGTGCTCCGCGGCGCCTGATCAGACACCATCGGTCGCACTGGATGAGTCCACCAGCCTGTCAGAATTGGTGACCACGTCGTCGTGGCTGATGTTTGACCTGATGGGAGTCGACCACGAGTGGATGACGAAGCCTCCTGGGGAGTGGGAAGGTCACGAGGCGTACATCCTATGCAAGGAATTCGTGAAAACAGTGAAAGTCGTGAACGACACCGCGGAGAGGGGCATCGCTCTTCTGAAAACATTCGCTCAGCATGTGAAAGGGCAGGACCAATTCCAGTGGCTTCTGCGGGCTGTGGAGAGGCACAGGCGTGCAGTGCCACACATGACAAAGGCAGCCCTGGCTACCCTGTGACTGGGTTCGATGAGAAACGGTGTTGAGGCCCGGTACCGAAATACATGTTTTGCCGTCACTGACGTACCAGTGTTTTGCTTACTGTTAAGTTGTCGTGTCCTGAATAATGAGTTATGTCTGTGTATGTTAATCTGAGCACCAGAATATGCGACGACACTTTTATGGAAGCGCAGGTACCATATTCAACCTTCACAGTGTCATAAAATACCGGTTAATACCACCTCTTGCACGGCCGTATTTTCTTGGTGTTAGTGCCCTACTTGCAATTGCTCTAACATGGATGACTTCAACGCCGAACGGCACAAAAATTGAAAACTTTGGCGAATTATCGCGACGTTTAGAATCGAGTTTAAAATCGAATAATTCACACCAAATTTTATTAAAAAGATGAAATAATGGGAATCCGATCGAGGAGAGACAATCTGAGAAAAAAAGTGAAAAGTGAAACACCCTAATGTACATAGGTAGAGCGCGTTATTCTGTTTCGAATGATATATACATTGCTGCGCTTCTGGTCAATGGAAGACCACAATGACCGAAAAACACAAAACTCGCCCCTGTGTAAAACTTTGTGCTGACAGAAAAATGTTAGATATGCGTTTTTGCCTTTGCACGGCAGTATCAGCATAATTCAAGCTACGGAACTCATCGTTATATATAAAATGTACAATGTTGACAGTTGACATATCAGCAAACGGACAAATCGCAACCAAAGCTAGACAGATAAACGAGTATATGTATTTGAATAACCACAAAATTATATTTCTTATGAAAAGGCCGAATAATTCAGAAGCACCACTATCTTCTCGATAATTCTGACGGACAAACCGATCACCCTTCGATCAGCTCCTACATAATTTAGAAGATCTGCAACACAGAAAAATAAGAAAATACAGATCCTGCGGATTTGGAAAACACGAATGTATATCTAAACAATCAACCCCCGAAAACGTGACCATGTCAAAAACGTCTGTACAAATTTAAAATTTAAACCAGCGTATCTGATCGTTTAGTCTTCAGACACTTATCGAAAATCAGCAATTCCAATAAGCCCACCGCTCATTCAACTGACAGCCACCGCTCCCTTCCAAAAATTTCCATCGAAAGCATACGTTTCCACCATGACTCCCCTTGTCACTCACCCATCGTTCTCCCATGGACCAGCCTATGCCATCCCCCGCCCTACCCTGGATTAGGCTGATACATTCAGCACTATTAGGCTGTCCCCTCCGTATTATTATAGTTCGTTTTTTTTTTTCTTCAAAAGGACGCTGGCTCCAAGTTCATTATCGAAGCTCTCACGTGACTTTTGGCAGCTTCAGCGTCTGGCCAAGAATTTCTTACCGAAAAAATATTCGATTTCAAATTGTGCACGGTAAGTACCCGGAAATTGTGTCTTGAAAAATTAGCATACTGTGATGACGTCACTGGCGGCAGCAGCAACCGATGTCCGTACGATGGGAGAAAGTGTCGACGAATTTAGAGGAAACTTTGTTTTTCACTGTTGCCGAGGTTATAATCGAGTAAGCGGTTCCGTTCATGATATTTATACGTTATGTTGCAATACAAGTTCGACAGCATGACGTCACCACTGTTCTAATATCTAGTCCCAAAACGCACGCATGTAAATTATCGGGAAGAAATCACATGTTAAAATTAGTCGACGTTCGATTTTCTCAGGTTCAGTTTTTGGCCGTTTTGCTCGCTAAAACACGTGCTTATTCGAAAAACATACTTGGAGCCAGAGTCCTTTTGAAAAAAAAAAACGAACTATAGGCTACATATATCACGCCCGCCCCGTACCTACCGCATGTTCAGGCTGGAGTGCCGTGTGCGGTGGCGGCGTTGGCGGCGGTCTGCCGGGCGCGTTCACGCCGGAGAAGGCGGGGAGGCCGTGCGGTCGCGGTCGTCCGTCCGGCTCCCCGAACGGGTTAACGGGCGAGCCGGCGGTGGGCGAGGTACCCAGCTCGGTCAGCCGGGTCATCTGCTGCGTCACCGCCAGCACGCCGTCGTGCTGCACCGTCAGAATCACCCAGATCACGTCTGTAGGCGGGAGGAAGGCAGTGGTCAGTGCGTGCTGGTGTGGCTTTGGGCAGCTACATCACATCTGACGGAGAGTGAAGAGCACAGTGGTTAGCAGTAAGCGATGGCCATGATCATCATCACCTAGATGACATCGGCTCGGGGAAAGAGCAACGATTGCGTCAACACATCACCAAGACCAAATCAGGCAGAGGGGAGGTGACAATACCTATTCATCCATCAGTGAACGTCATAATTGCACGCACAACACTGTGCACGTACGCCGGACAACAGCACGATGTGCGTCCGAATAAGCCACACCATACCAGACAACTTGTATGATGTTACGAGTAGGTATCCAAGCATCATACGCAACATTCGTTATCGCATTCGAGGTTGTAAGAGGACGGCTAGCGACATAGCCATGGTGACGAAACCACAACTGCAAACGGACACATGCACCGAACGAGGTCATGAGACACAAACACTCATCACAAAGAGGATATCGTGCACTTCAACCAAGTCTGGCCCATGCGTCATAGACGGTGAATAACCACACTATCGGTCAACGACACGTCAGACGCCCCTCAACAACCCCGTTCATTTTTCCAACCTCCTAGACCAGCCGGCCGGGTCGTCGCCTAAACAGGTTTGGCGTTCCGGTTCGCTCCAGTTTACAGTCGGCGTTCCTATCGAGCGAGTGGCGGGGAACCACCATGCGTCGGCCGGTAACCGCCTGGTAACCGGCTGGTAACCGGTTGGTAACCGGAGAGGGGCGTCACTCACCTCCAAAGTGGGAGCCGGAGGCGGTGGTGGCGCGCCACTTGCTCTGGTACATGCCCGGCTCGCCGGGTGAACGCATCTGGACACAGACCTCGGCCACCTCGTCCGGCGCCAGGCAGCTGAGCGGTATGAAAGTCTGTGGAGAAACGGGACAGAGAGACAGGCGTCAGTGGGAGGGTTTTTGTTTTCAGAAGCTCGAATGTGAATAGTCTCGGATTTATTATTCACTCTTTTCCTAGCCTTGTTTTGTAAAGTATCCACTCCCTTCTTGAAATGTGGATTATCACTGCTATGACGTCGATCACTCTTAGTAGGTACAGCCACACAGTTTTTTTTTCTTGTCAAAATTTGAACGAGGATTTTGAACGAGATACCCACGAGTTACTTGCGAACTGGAAGTCTCTAGCCTTGTCTTTCAAAGCTGAAGTTTTCACTCGGCAACCAAACTAGTTATATAAGATATTTAAATTTTAGAACCAACACCTCAACATATGACATCATCCAGCCACCTTACGTCACATGATTCATGTCCATGAGCCAACAAGCACAGAGCGGCGGTAGCATGTCTCATCCACGGGTGTCGATCTGTTTATTTAGCATCGACTCCGAGTATCCATGCCTGGCGTCACTTGGAAACATGTGTGAAGCAGCGGTAGTCGTTTGGCGCGGCATTATTCATGACAAGAGCCGGTGATAGCGTCGGAAGTGGCGATACAGAATGCAGGTACATGTTCCGACACGACAGATTATCTGATGAGTCAGTGTCTAAATGATGGCCACTTCACAGGCCATCTAGACAGACAGCGATGCACTGTGCATGCTGAAACCCATAGTAAAGCCTTTGCAAACACCGACCCTCCACAAAGGCGCACATATCGATATCGCTATAACACGGAAATGGCACATATATCACGAAAAATGTCACCTATCTCTTAATCATTCCATTCGATGCACCCCAATTCAGTTTCAATTTGCAGGAACATGAAATTTACGAGGAATTGTTTACGTCAATGCTCGAAATACAGAGCATCGCTAACAATATTCTCAATACATTTAGACCTTGTGCAATCTATAAATTGTGCACGGTACACAGTGTACACCCCAATGAAGCAGTACGCCCTGAACGACATTTCATTACCATGCTATTGGCACGCCAAATTGTTTGCTCTACGGGCTGCCGGAGGTCCTTAAATAATCCGACTGTCGTACAGCGTTTAGGTAAGGCGAAACTTGCACTGAGGACTAAGTTTTTTTTCCTGGTAGTAGCCCTAAAATATTTCAGCGGCGGATGCTGGCATTTTCACCAAAACAGCGATCGGTATTGGTAAATACATATCTACCTTCACGACCGGCTTCGATGCGATGACCGTCAGCCGAGACAGATAAATGATACACTCCAAAAACGTTCAGACAACAGCTTTGACAGCATGGCCACAGGGCGAAGCACTCAGACCACAGACAATAAAATGCACATTTGTGATCACGGATGTACGTGCATCATTCTACTATTTGCCATGTAAAACATTGCAGATAATGCACATACATTTACTGCAAAATCGGTTTACTTACGAACATAATTTATGTTGCGTTCCGAAAATCCACGCTTTCCTTACATAACATCCAAGCTGCTGTTGATTGATTTCGGGGTTTGAAGGATGACGATGTTATCGTCCATAGTCAGGCGCAGCCACAGTCGCTGAGAGCCTCATCCATTGCTGCTGCCTTGACAACAGTCAATGTGATGTCCCCAATCGATTCACTAACCAATATTGTCCTTGGGGTAGACCTTAGTTTCCATTTCGCTGAGACATCCCTCTGAAGAAACATGTCAACAGCTTCTGACCAATCCCGGCTAGGAACAGTCACGCTGCGTCTAAGACACATCTAGCAACAACCTCGAGCAACGCAACCGAAACAGCAGCGGATCAACAGGAAAAAGGAAACAAAGCCCCGGTAATGGCAATCTGAACCAGAGTTCCACGAAGGTCTTTTATCTGTGACGACTGGCCGTGTCGTTAGGTCTTTGTGGGAATAATGACCCGAGCACTTATGGAATTGTATGCGGAGAGCCACAACAGCCTTCTGAACGCAGGAAGGAGGCGGAAAATAAGCCAGGATGATTTTTTTTAAAGAAATCGTGCTTCACTAGCATTTAGGATATTAGACTTATCTACAGATGGTCACCATTTCTCTTTTCACTTCGTTTAAAATCAAATATCGATCATCCAGACGCACCATTCCAGACCCATCCGGAGCACGTGATTTACACCGAGAGCTACATTTTTGGGCATAGCACTCTGGATCGACGATCTAGTGCATTTCCTTATCGAAAAAGCGCGTAGTCTGCGTATCAAATATGCCTTTCGCACGCCACCACAATGATGTGCGGCGAGCAAAATAGTAACTGTTATGTTTCGACAGAATGAACGCCTCAAAATATGGCATAGTAGCAAAATGCAGCACAGGGCAACGTCATATATACCGCGCAAGGCAGGATGGATCTCTCAACTAATTTGCTAGCATGTACGACCACCACAAAATATCGCGAACCGTGCTCTACGGAGAATGAAGTCATGCAGCAGGTAGAGGTAACAAAGGCATTTAAAAGGCAATCGTAGGCATATGATACGAAATTCGATCTACGAAACATTCGTTTTTTATATCAAAGCACAACTTGAATTACAATTGGAAAACGCCATTGCGGCAAGAGACAGAACTCGCTGTTTGTTTACTGGGACTTTAGGGCGCGCCGAGACTGACAGACCTTACGTTTGTTTGCTAATTGAGGCTTTAGGGCGCGCCGACCGACTGACTAACCTTCTCTGAGAGCTGACTGCCGTGCAGGAAGCGCAGCACACAGCCGGGGGGCCACGGCTCGCGGCCGGCGTTCTTGATGCGCCACGTCTTGATGAAGGTGGTGTCGGGCGGTACGCTCTCGCCCTCGCCCACCGTGGCGTCCTCGATGAGTACTAGCGAGGGCGAGGGCGGCGGCAGCAGCTGCACGGGCCCGCTCTGCAGGTCAAAGTAGGCGCCCACCGCCTCCTGTAGGTTCCTGCGCGACAGACAGGGCAATGGCGGGCCATATAATGTGCGCGGTGACAGAATCAGGGGTCCATTTTACATATCAGAGACTGTCAAGCAAACGGTGTTATCATACTTTTCTTGGAAACCATCAAGCATAAAAAGAAAGCACTGTAACAGCCTCTCTACAATTTGATCATGCCCAAGACTTTTACTGCGAGCGAGCGGTAAGGCTTATTCTTAAAGGGAGATAATGACCTTTTTCCACAAAATCTGAGTTAGGACCATTTTCTGACAAAACGCAACAAGTTATAATGTAAATTAAAGCCATTTTGCTCAATTCGGTACCTTGCCGCAAATATCTCAACTTGAAGTCACGTTAGCGGGGAGCGCTGAAAATGACCGTTGAATAAGTACTTACATCACTTTTTGGTACTTGCATGTAATTTTGTAAAATGAGCGTATTCCTTACATTTGATCTTCATCACATCTAGTTAGTTAATGGTCGTCTATAGTGCCTTCAAAAGATATTCATGGTTTGGGGGTGGTTTATGTCTAAATTTACGCAACTATTTTTCCTGTTCATCATCTGACGCCATATGCTGCTATTTTAGTAGCAACGACTCAATTTTGAATCGGTCCCGCCGACTGCACAATAAAAGAAGATAGATACACCACTTTTGCGGCATCACTGAAAAACTTATGCAGTACTGTTATCAAAATTCTCATAACACCGTTCGACAAACCTGAAGTCTTTTTGAAATAAATATGCTTGTATTTTTCGCTTCAGGCTCTGACGCCAAAATAATGAATTTCGTAGTCGCAATCGCAAGATTTGGCTGCGTTTCTGGCGCATGCCGCTCATTTGTGGCGCAAAATAATGTTGGAAACAAAGAAGAGTAGGCACTATGTACCCCCGAATTAGAATGTAATTAATTCTAAACCGAATTAACTCTAATTCAAATTAGAATCCTTACAACCAAGCAACGACAAGGCGATAACATAAACAAAAACCCAAGCGTCGCTGTTTGAAACAAAAGCGCCATATACTGCGACTTTTTTATACAGAAGGTCAACGCATTTCGGTGGGTGTTACAAGTACTGCAAGTACTGCTTCTTTCTTGCAAAAATAAAAACCTTTTTCACATACGAAAATGTGCTAGGAAATTTTCATATTTTATAGAAACTACAGTAGAAATAGTATAGATGTCGAGTAATTTTTATTTAAGAAAAAAGAAAGCTCATTATCTCCCTTTAAAGGGACCCTCCCACCTTCAAAAAAGTTAATGAATTGGCATGAAAGTGATGTCGCTCGGTTCAGAAAGAGCAAAAAACGAATATCTACCAAATTTCATCGAAAAATATTCACCGGTTTTCAAGATATTAGACTTTTACTTTTGTTTACTTTTTGGGATCTCCGCTGTTCCTAGCGACTTTATTTGAAGGTGCGGCATTTGTTGCGCGCAAAGCAGCATATACCACCGCGTGCTACAAAACGTTTTAGTCAAACATTTAACGGACGTTCGAAAGCCTGATGACGTCATCAGACTCCCGTAATGGTTAAGAGATAGGGACCACGCTGGTCCCACCCTGCAAGTAAAGGGAAGAAATTTCTTGAACACCAAAAAGCTGCGGGGGTTGCGACCAGGATAAATGGTGGGTTCTGAGCCTGGCCGCAAACTTGGCTATCTCAACTCAAAACTAATGTAAAGGAAGACTGCCACCTTCAAAAAGTTTTCTCAGATCGGCCTATGATTTATTCCCTGGACAAAACAAAATTTTAGAATTCACCTGACAAAGTATCATCACGTGAATCGCGAAAAAAATTGTCGATTATCATACAATTATCAATCGGTTAATGTCTAGCGACAATATTTACACATCACTAGACTTCAAGGTCATAAGATTATTACATTTTATTTGAAAAAGTAAGGTATTTTATGATTTACTAATATATGATTTCATAAGAAATTGGCCATGTTTAATTTATTTTGCATTTAAGTTCGTAAAACATTTAAAAATCATGGCTCATTTGGAATGGGTCTGGCCCATGTTAAACCCCATTTCCCACACTTTTTTGGAAAAAATGAACTACTGAATATATAAGTTTAACTTTTATTTTGACACTCCAAAATTCTTCTCTGATCTCGAAACAATCAAAGTTTTGACATATATTTACCAAAAGATAAGAAAATTCATGTTTCAAAGTTATCGATAAACAGTAGAGATGTCGGTTTTCTTGGACTAAAAAAATGGCATCAAACTGAACTTTGGTCTCCGATTTCTCGCAAACGGGTTCGAATTTCGGAAAACCGACTTCAGTCTGGGACATAGGTGGCTCAGCTCTAGTGAAAACCGTTTTGTGGAAAAAAGGTGGCAGTCTACCTTTAAGGTGGGAGGGTCCCTTTAAGCGAATGACTACGAGCGGCCAAACGCGTTCACGTTATGATTTATGAATAAAAGGCTCATCCCATCTCAGAGGCTATTTCAGCAGCCACTGGGCCGATCGACTTGCAATCTAAATCACAACAAACATTTAAATATTACAGCATGATGCACCTATCTTGGAGGAAAGGTTTTCATATCAGATCCTCACAGAATTACAAGCTCCATTCCATCCATATAAAAAGTAGCAGTGCTGCAGAGTCGACAAATTTCGCCTTTCGGTGACTCCGACGCCGACTCCGACTTCCAAAAACAGACTCCGACTCCGACTCCGGGTAGAACTGTCGACTCCGACCGACTCTGACTTCCACTTCGCACCCCTGGCCGCTATGTATGTAGTCGACGAATTTTCGGTGACTTACTCGGACTCCGACTTCCAAAATCGACTCAGCCTCCGTTCAGAGCTGTGGACTCCGACCGACCGCAGCCCTTTGAAGTATAAGCCCACTACCGTCCCGAGTGTCAAACATGGTCGCTGCCTTTGAAGGGCTGACCTGTCCACGTGTTTCAACGGATTGCTTTTCCAGCCCGTCGAGGGCCGGGGCCACCCGCGAAAGGGACTCCCCATTATAGGGTCCCCGGGCCCAACCGAACGGCGCCCGCCACTGATACCAAAATTGGCAGGTGTTTAGGTTGGCGATTAGGTATTTGACACCAAGAAGTGGGGTCATTAAACCATTCCTTTAAATCCGGTCATAGTGACCAAATATGCCGGTTCATGTTACTGAGTCACAGTAAGCATTGCCATTTCTTTGAAATTTGTGCCTTATGGCAGACGCGAAATTTTAATCAGCCAATTTCGACGCCCCGGACATGTGCCCGGCTGCGTATTCGCCAATTGTATTACACGAATCGGCCGACCAATAGCGTGCCTCCTGAGTGACGTCAGCGTGGCGTCATACTTTCGGTCCTCGCCCTTGGTGGCGTCTATTGAAGCTAGGTTTTAAGTTACTGACATTTAAGCTATTTGGAACATGTTGACGCCGTGGCGAAGTAGTTAGAGTATCGGACGGGTGATACAGAGGTAGGTGGTTCGAATCCACTCGGCGACTTCGATTTTCGTGTCATCTGTCATTGTGCGTTTTTTATACATTTGCAACGGCGTGCACCTAAGAAATCAGACGTAGGCATTCTTCTAATGAATATGTTGCATAAGATAGATATTTGCAGTCCAACCGATTGGTTCGGTTTCGGTATTTTCCAATGGTCTTTGTTTGTATTTGGTTTGGTAGCGGTGTTCTGATTTTCTGTGATTGACATCACTAATACATAGAGCATACCTACTGCATACTATGCGAACGTAGCCAATGGAAAGACAAATGGTGCTGGGCGATGGCCATTCATTGATCAATATTTCTCGCTGCTAATGGGTGATAGCACGCAGCATTGACAGGGGCGGCGCTGACCTTTTGAAAGTAGGTGGGCACTTGGCAAGGTAAAGTACCTAAAAGTAGCGAAAACTAAGATGAAAAGTAAAAATCGCACGCTGGTAAGCATAGCTTTTCGTGTAAGAATCACCATGCACAAAAAAGTTCGGCATAGCTGTTAGCGTAATCACGGGACGAGATATCAGTTTCCAGCCGTCAGAGCGTCATCTATAGGAGCTATGCCCTAACTATAACTCTTACATTTCAGCCGCCAGGGGGATACCTAAGTCCCCTTACTTGGAATCTAGAAAGTCAAAAGATTTATATTAGAGCTTTATGAAGATAACTTGGGACTGGTTGTTTAGTTGCATGCTCACGGCGGGCTGTTATCAATTTATCTCTATACATGTCTTATCTGATCGATGAAATAATACAGGAATCCGTTGTCATTCGAGTGAGTTTCATAATAGCTCTTCCGACTTTGACGAATATCGACAGTGCCGTAACAAAATTGGTAGTTCAGGTATAGACTGCAACTGCAGTTCTTTTGCAACTTATTCCTTAATCAGATTAATACTTGTCAGAGATTTATTGGGCGTACGATATTGGCGTGCGAACGTAGGGGCCAAAAATGCGCGTCTACGACCGACTTCTTTTTAAGAGAAAAGAACCGCTAAAGCAAGAATCGATCCACCGACCTCTCGTCCACCACACCGAGACTCCAACCACTCGGCTACTGCGACACATACATGTGTGACAGCCATATACAATTTCAAAAAAGTCTCAACTCAAATCTAGCCTCAATGCATGCATTGTCGCGGCGGATGGCTATGACGTCGCACTAGAGATGTCGCTAGTTGATGGGCCGATTCGTGTAATACAATTGGCGAATACGCTGCCCGGCTCGAGCTGGCGTGCCGCTCGCAGCCGGGCGCAGATGACGGGGACGCCACGCTGAACCGGGACGACCGAGGGCTCCGAGGGTAGTGATCTCCGTCAGTGCTTAGCGTGCTGATTATTTTACGGTTGTGGTCTCTGTTGAATTAAGTTGAATTGCTAGATATCATCGTTAACATGGCAAAAGTGCGACTCGTGCCCGGTGAGGAGGCGATTGAAGTGCTCATCAATATGGACTCGGGTGACAGTGACAATGATGTGGTTGATATTCCTCCCGAAAGCAGCGGCGAGGATGAAGCAAGCGACGGGGACACCGATCTAGAGGAAATGGATGGCATTACCGACACTGAAGAAGGTTGGGCTGCTGAGGAGAACAAGACTCAACCAGCACCCATCAAAAAGCGCCGAATAGAAAGGAGCGTGCCCGTGTGGCGCGACCAAGAGCCACAGTACACTGGATGGCAGGAGCCGACCAGGACGCCGTCTGAAAACCGCGAGAAGATCGCGGCTGATCTGGCGGACAGCACGGCCGTGGAAATCTTCGAAAAGATTTTCACGCCGGAAGTATTTCATCTTATACAATTGGAGACGCTTCGGTATGCCAAGGACGTCAAGAATGATGCGCTGTTCACGCTGACTGAAGGAGAGCTCAAGGCGTTTTTGGGAATATTGCTGTATTCGGGGTACTGTACTCTTCCTTGTGAGCGGATGTACTGGTCTGAGGACAGTGACCTACAGCGTCCTATCGTCCGCAACGCCATGACAAGGTTCAGGTACCGGCAAATCAAATCGTATCTCCACCTGCAGGACAATGCAAAAATGACGCAAGACAACGGAGACCGAGGCTTCAAGGTCCGGCCTCTTTTGGACATCATGAACCGTTCATTTCAAAAGTACGGTGTATTCCAGGAGAAACTGGCAGTGGGCGAAATGATCGTCCCCTACCACGGCGACAACCGTCCGAGGCGGTTTCGACGTGACGAGCCCAATCGCCTCGGCTACAAGCTTTGGACCATTTGTGGCGGCGACGGCTACTGTTACAAGGTCGACCTCTACTGCGGCAAAGAACAGGGTCCCGAACTTTGCGGTCAGCCGCTGGGGAGCCGGGTGGTTCTGGACATGATCAGCGTGATATCTGATCCCAGCGGCCATGAGGTGTTCTTTGGAAACAAGTTCACCTCCAGGACTCTCCTCGGCCAGCTGAAAAGTCGAGGCATCCGTGCCACCGGCGTTGTGAGAGAAAAACGCCTTGGCAAATGCCCAGTCAGTACCGTTGAGGTCATGCGCGAGATGAAGCGTGGCTCGTATGAACAGCGGTTCGATCTCACAGACCAAGTGCTGTTAATCAGATGGCACGACTACGGGGTCGTAAACGTAATGACTAATTACGACACCGCCAACCCGACCTCCAACGTCGACCGGTACGACAGTGAAGCTAAGAAACGTGTGCCAGTCCCTCAGCCCAAGGCGCTGAAAACCTACCATGCCGCCATGAGTGGAGTCGACCTCCACGATCAGCTCCTGGGAGCATACCCGGTGTCCATCCGAGGAAAGAAGTGGTACTGGGGCGTCATCACCCGACTGCTGGATATCGCTGTAGTCAACAGCCACATTCTTCACAAAACAGCCGTCACCGGCGACAAACAGCTGTCCCTCCTGGACTTCCGCCGAGAGATCGCCGTCACCTATCTGAAGGCGGCAGCCAGCCAGAAGGGCTGCGGTGCCCGGCCTCTGCCAGCCAACACACCAGCCAGCCTGCGGTACGACGGGATCGGACATTTCCCCGCGCCACTCCACGGGCGTCGCCAGTGTCAGCTGGAGAGCTGCAAACTGCGCTCAACAAAACGGTGCAACAAGTGTGACGTGGCGATCTGCCTTAAGTGCTTCGTGGCGTACCACCAACGGAGTTAGCTCTTTCCTGGTGCCAGTGCAGGTGTGAAAAGAGGATACGCAAGTGAACTAGAGTGTTTATTGTGCATTGACAATGTTTGCGCCATCAAAAGTTCGTTGGGTGCCAAAAGTTACCTGTGCCAAGTGCCTAGTGAATGGTGAACTACCAAAGTGAATGATGCATCCAGGTCTACGTTGCGCGGTACTTGTGATCGTGACGGGTTGTCTTTGACAATAAATGAGGTACACAACCCTAGTCCCCAGTTCCAGCATCTGTTTGTATTTCTCGGCCGTCTCCGCACCGAAAAATAAACTTCCCTTGGCGCGAAGGGCGGGCCGGCCGCACGTATGGGCCGTGTACGAATCACTTATGGTCATTGCTTCATTCATATAAAATTGAGCTTTTTTCCATGAATTATGAATTTCACCCATAGGAGACACAATACACAAAAAATGACATGAGCAAATAAAAGGTAGGTTTTAAAACAAGTGGGCAAAGCTCTGGGAGTGCTATAACATTGAAACTTATGCATTGTTGGCAGCTAGGAATATGCTACTAAACACTGTGCTTCAGCTGTCCAGTGTCCACCACAGGCCCTGTTGTCAAGACAAAACAAAAAATGGAATATTATGTTAGTCAATGCAAGTCCTTTTACTCACCAATTGTTCATTTCCAAATAGAAGGCAGCATCCCTTTCATTGGCTCCATCACCAACAAGCTTGTGAAACTGAGAGATGAGCACATCTCTGTCTGTGGTGCCCATGCAGCTGAACTGCTGCAGCACGGAGTCGACATCAGACTCATCCACCTCCATGGCTTCAGGTCTTAGCTGACAACTACAGCTGGGAATATGACAGAAGGGGTGGATTAGAATTATAATTATTTCTCAATGGAAAAACGACTTTTAAAACAAAACAAAAGCTAAAATAAGGAACAAAGAGAAGCTAGTTTTAGTTTATGATCACTGGCTTCATTTGCAACATCTGGGAGAAGCATAACCAGCAGAATTTTGAGTCCAGTGGAACATGGATAGTGAAAGAGAACAATCAGAAATTAATGTGTGGAATGGCCAGGAAATTCTTTACAACTCAACTTCTTAGTAAATTCAAGTCCAGTCTTTGTAACACCAAAAATCAATTATTACAATGGCCACAAAGCAGCTACCACCTACAGCTAAGCACACTCGAAATGCCTGCAGTAAATGCATAAACCAGCCAGTAGATTGACAAACTTACCAAATATGAGCATACAGCACTAACTAACTCAAACTCAGCTCTCAAACCAATCAACTCATAATTGATAGGGGGCTCAATTATAGGGCTCTCCTAATGGGGCTCTCCTCACTTGGTTATTGAGGTGCTAAGCAAAACCTATTGTACATCAGGGCCTCAGGCAGCATAGCATTTAAGTGCAAATAACAACATTGACATTGTCATTCAGTAACCAGTAATATATTGAAATTGTAGTGTGAATCCACACACCATGAATCCAATTGAATGAACCAAATTAAGATTACTTGATAGGTACTGCTTCTGAATGTTCATGTTGTGCAGCAACTAAAAAGCTAATATCAAAGCCTCATAACTTCACCTTCTGACAAACAATATTGTAGGTATTGAATCAGAATGTTGCCACTCAAGATAGGTACTTAGAACATCAAATATGCTCTGTTCCTCGTACTCCAGTCATATACTCATGAAAAGCTATGATTTCCTGTAAGGCCCTAAAGCCCTAAACAGAACAATCAGCATTTAGCATGACATTCCATTCAATGCAAACTGAAAAAGGTCAGCGGGCGCAACACGCCACACAGCGTACCTCGTGTAGAAATTGTGGGATTAGTTTCAACTTAATTGCACTTGTTAAACCTCTTCATTTATTATCAACCATTTAATAATCATTTATCTATTACTTTTTGCTAAATTTTGCATAAAAACAGCCTGAATCACCCACAATTCCAAAAATGCGCCACAAATGAATCGGACATGCGTGGAAATCACCACCAAGCAAAACACCGTCGCATTCGCGATAACTTACCCAGTTCAATCATAACATGACATAAAAATCAATTTTCATGAATCAACTCAATCCACCATCCGGAAAGAAACAAAAGAACGTGTCAATTGATACAGCGCGGTGGGTCAAATTCCAAATTGCAGATCACTGGTGAAATCGGCGAGTAATTTCTTTGAAATTAAAAGTTTCCTTCATATGGCATCGATATTTCATCAAAATTTGGCAGCAATACATTTCTTAAAGACGCTTATATTGCTCAGAGAGCACTATTTATTGCAAAATATTTCTAAATCCAATGTACAAAGTACTTTTATTGTAATTGACTCACTATTCCTGGCACTTTTGGTCCTCTAGGGCTTCAGTGTTTATGTTGAATAAATTAACGTATATTACAATGCATTGTTTATAATATCAATTGCCTTTCAATGATATTCTGATTAATGTATTGGTATTGCTTATCGTCATGGCTCTCCGAGGTTTTCAGTTTTTGCAAAGAGACTGGAAGAAGACTAAGCTCATTTGTGAATTATGCTCACAGCATGGTTCTAATAAATGGTTAAATCATAAAAGTTATAGGTAAGATGCATAGAGGCTTGGATATTTCTGACTTTATGAAGAAAAGTTAGAATTTTCGTACTTGTACAGCCCTTAGCACACTGCGTGATAGTTATTATTTCAATTTTTCACAAAACTGATAATACCTCAAAGCATTATTCTGGCAACATATTCAGCATTATGAATACAATTATAATGCCAATCTAAGGTGCGGAGTCTCGCGCATCTGGTAAATGTCAAGTTTAAGTCCTAAGAAGATTTCATTGATAAATTTTTCATATTTTTACATTATTTGACATCCTGAATCCAAAAATGACACTCATATGTCTCGCAAATAAAAGGAAAAAACATAATCAAACCTGACCTAACCTTACCTACTTACCTATAACCTACCAACCTACAACCTACAAACCTATCCTAACCTAACCTAACCTACAAACCTACCTACCTACAACCTAAAACCTACAAACCTACAACCTAACCTAACCTAAAACCTAATTTTTTTGCTGTTTCATATTCGTATCAACAGCGCCACAATTGTAGTTAGGACCTAAACTTGACATATACCGCGCATCTTTCTGTTACAACTTCCGAGTGACTGATAGCATAGTATTCTAATTATTCTCGGTTTTGTCAAAAAAGAATAGGTACCAACCACGCAGTGTGCAGAGGGCTGTACCTATCCTTCTTTTAACCCAAGGAAGATTATCCTTTTTCAGAATGAGGGAGTTATGGTTAATTAAAAGGTTGAGATTGCCATTTTACTTCATTGTAGCGGCAACAGGCATCAGAAGTGCCCTTACAGAAAAAAACTTTTTTTGCGGTGAATACTGGAACTTGATAATGAGGGTGAGGTTGAGGCATACTGATTGGAGGCATGATTCTCAATCAGAGTGTGGTTTTTCTCAGTTATGCTCATTGTTGCTGCTCCCACTGAATGCACATTTTTGTAACTTTGCCACTTTTGAAGTTTAAAAAGAAACCTTTAGAGTTTAGATGTTGTCATGAGAGGCTATCCCCCAGAATGAAGTGTGCAACTGGAAATGATTGGAAGGCAATCCATCTGACAGATATTTGCAATAATGTAATGTTTTGTCTCTAATCCTTGCTGAGTCAGAAGGTTATCTGCTGAAATAAGCTCAAGTCAGCTCATGATAAGGCTCACAGACATTCTTTCCAGGCAATTCCTCATTCTGCTTTTCAGCAACATCTCTAAAGGTCCCTATCTTTGGCTGTGGCACATTCCATGAAACACTATTGATGCTACATAACTGCAGCCAGATTTTGCTATCTGGCCTGTTTGTTACTGGTGGTGGTAGTTAATCAGTCCAATGGGATGGACTGGCGCCATTGCTATTTCTATTTGGGATCAGGCTCCAGTGCTCTATTTTGCTACCTTTTCAGCCAGCTGTTGCTGGCTCACATTTTCCTGTTCAGGGGCCGATGTTGAGCTGCATTGAGCCAGTCTGTTGTGCAAACTGCTAAGATCACTGTATGTCATATCTGATATCTTGAACAGCTGTTGCCTTTTGAGCCCTGTCACTCATCAGTTGCAGATTTTAGATAGATGGATGGATGGGATTAAATATCCTACAGCAGCAGCTTTGGTCATTGGTGTCATGTACTGTGTCAGCTCATATTGCTGGACTCAGGAAAGCTCACATGACTTGTGGTTTGGTGGCCTTATGGCCTGACTACCTTAGAAGCATCCAGGCAGGACACAGTTCCACACTCTCAATAAGCTTAGATCCAGTTCTATAGCCTTGGTTAGATTTACACCCTCCTGCCCCCCCCCCCCCCGCCCCCCCCCCCGGCATAAAAGGCTCGTTGCTCTCCACTGATGCTTGATTAAAAATTCCACAAAATTATCTCTCACTTTCTCTCAATTATCTCTCTTCTATTTTCTCCCTTTCAGATTGCTGTCTGTGAGTCGATCTCATGGGGCTCGTCCGCCGGGCGCCGCCGAAACTCTGGACGTCTCTCACATTCCTCTGGAGAGGACACGTAACTTCAGCATCATCGCCCACATCGACCACGGCAAGAGCACACTGGCCGACCGGCTCCTGGAGATTACTGGTGAGAAAGTATGGGGTAGATAGATTAGGTGTTTGAAACTGGTGAGTGGTGAGAGTCGGTGAGACCGTTGATGTGGTCGTTTGATTATTTCGTTTCGGAAAACGGTGCTTTCAGACATCTCTAACGATGCGTGTTTTTTTTACGTTTTAACGGTCTTTTTGTCAAGTTGCGTGGCAAAAATGTACAGTAGGTAGGATTTTAGCGACCAATTTGAGCATGAAGTTTCGTGTCTCTTCGCTATCCCCTCTGTGGTCCCTGAAAATACCTGACCTGTCTGGTTTATTCGTGTGGTTCGTTACAGGAACCATCTCTCCTGGTGAAGGGAATAAGCAGGTGCTGGATCGACTGCAGGTGGAACAGGAGCGGGGCATCACCGTCAAGGCGCAGACCGCGTCGCTGTTCTACACACACGTGAGTGTCTTGTAAACCCACGGAGCTTGTACCGACCACGAATTCCACGATCCGATGGAGAAAAGGCACGACATGGCGTTGAATCAGTCGAACTTTCAACGTACGAACGGTAATACTGCCTAATTTTTCGCGGACTGGCGTACCTAAACATTGTATGGTTTTGTGTGACATGCCGAGAGTGTGGCCGTGACACCAGCCATTAGCCATCCATGACCCGAGTACACATTCATCCTTGTCTGAGTGTGAATGTGTAGGAAATAGTGAACGCCGTATAGGCTCGATCCCGGATGCCACCTCCTAGGTCGAGGGACCGAGGGTTCGTGGCGAACGATCGCCTATTGAGCTATTAGGCGATCACGACCCAAGTGCTTGAGATGCTCGAACACAGCTCGACTTAATCTCAGCTCTCATACACTTATAGCATGGCCAGCTCAGTAATAAGTGGCATAAAGAAATATGAAAGGTTGATCCCATTCATGAAACTCGAAAGCTCGGATCTTAGTAACTACCAAGATCCTTTTTTCACATTGCGACACAGATCGTCATCGTAGATCCGTTAGAAAGGGTCGCATGCGTCGCACTCCAAGGCCCAATCTCACCAACTGCGGTAAACTCATTTTGAACCAAGTGTAGTGAATTGAGCAGTTATGAAGTGCAAAGCCCAAGTGGGAAAGCTTGGATATGATCTACAAGTCGCCCAGTGCTCGAAAGTTTTATTATTCCTAAATTTACCTCGAAATATCGCTACCTGCGCGGTGGCACTCTCGTAGTTACAAAGCTGTTCATAGATGGCGTTAGTAGTCGACGCCTGAAGGTAGACTGTGCCGCATCACTTGAATTCCGCCGTGGCAGCGACCCCTGAAGGTAGACTATGCCACATCGCTTGAAATCCGCCATAGTGGCGGCGGACGGCGCTAGGCATTTCGGTAATTACGCTTGCTAGCCTGCGTTCTGCAAATTACGAGTATGATGGAGAAAGTGTGAATAGACTGCATTGATATTTTTTATTGATCTTTACTAGCATGAAATCGAACACTAAACCGTCGCCAAACTGTCACGTTGATCAACTGCATTCATCATGTAGTCAGTGCCATTATATGTGTATTATTTATGTCCATGTCTTTCCCTCATAGCCGAGTGGTTTCGCGTGAAAAGTTGTCCGCTCACCAAATCGTTCTGTTTCAGAACGGTGAAGAGTACCTGCTGAATCTCATCGACACACCCGGTCATGTCGACTTCAGCTATGAAGTCTCACGGTCATTACAGGTGAGGGATCTGTTAAAAACAGAGCCGCTCTAATGCATAATACTGAATGCATAATATTGCGCGGTATAGACGTGAATCAAGTTTCATAAGCGCCGGCGTGCTTAATTAAGCAAAATGATGTAACCAAAAAGGATGACATCTTACTATCTGCGATCAACAGCTGTAGAGTTGTTTTTAACATGCGGAGAGCCGGAACCGAGCTTCTTTTCTGACCGCTGACACCGTGGTTGATCGTCTGACTGTCTGACCATTTGATGATTTACCGTTTGACCGGTGACTGTTGACCGCTGACCGCTTATCGCAGACCGTTTGCTGAGCCTCACCGTATATCTAATCGCCTATCTTACCGTCTCATTAGTTAACTTGCTGCCTGTTTATCCGTCTGACTGGTCGTCTAACCGTCTGTCTCATTGTCTTACTGTCTGACTTTACTGGTCGTCTAACTGACCCACTAGCTGACCCTCTGACTGTTTGTCTTACCGTCTGACCGTCTCCCTCCAGGCGTGTCAGGGCGTGGTTCTCCTGGTGGACGCCAACAAGGGCGTGCAGGCACAGACGGTGGCCAACTTCTTCCTCGCCTTCACCAGTGACCTGGCCATTGTCTCCGTCGTCAACAAGATCGACCTGAAGAACGCCGATCCTGACCGGGCCATCGCTCAGATGCAGAGACTGTTCGACTGTGATCCCGACAAAGTCTGCCGGGTGAGTGAGAAATTGCTTATTGTGAGAGGGTTCTTT